TAGGGATAAGTATTATAAATATTAGTAATAATACACTTTGTTCAAAGAGAGTAGCAGGAATAACTATTAAACTTGAAGCCCTCTATCAAAAATCATAACAACAACAAGATACCATATACCAGTGTGCCCCAAACCAACAGACCATATTTATGTGGTTTAGTGAATATGGAAGTTTTAAAATTTACCACATGTACCCCAACCCCCTTCCCACCGCACAGGTAACAGCCAAGAAATGCCCCATGGCAGGGAAATAAAAACTGTTCAAATAACCTTAAAGTACAATATTAAAAAAAACTGTTTATTTTAGTTTTTTTGGTCTGCGTTTGACTTTATTTAGGTCAAATTATCTCTCAGACAAGTATAAAATTATCTACTTAGCTCAAATGACTATTTGTTAAAAATATCAAACATCTACTGCCTCATGTTAGTTTTATTAGAAAAATTATGTCATCTTCACTTGATGGAGTTATAAGTGAGAGAAAATAGTGCTCCATGGTGAAATTCACAAGACTATGAAATCAGAAATGCCCTACGGTAAACTGTCAAAATGACTTAATTTCTCCATCCTGATCCACATCACAGACAATAAGAAAAAGGGCCTACCTATTGCTAGGGTGGGCATTGCTGTAATAACAGTGATGAATAACCTTAAAATAATTTCCTCATGCTTTTCAAGTTATAATTTGAACAGACAAAAAGGATTTCAGCAAAATAAACCAGTGATCTAGGGATGCACATAGAGAAGCAAGGCTGGAAGAACCCTAGCCATCCCCTTTTCATAAATCTGGCTGAACTGTTGTAAAGGCACAGCCTTACCTTCTCCTGGTGAATGGAACTTTTAAGCAACCAAAAACCGCTTTGGAGATCACAGTTTTGAGTCAAGTATGTTTTCTCTTAAGTTAAGAGTCACATGTACTTGGGAGACAGTCATCAAAAGCATCATCTACCACTTTCAACACGCTGACCAAAGGTAGGTGTCATCAAAGTTCACATAAGCCACCACGAAAAATGGGGGTTGGCAGAAAATGTGCGGAGGTAAGAAATTAATGCTCTGTAGAGTCACAATAAAGCTATTCAAAGCACTCACTCCTTTTTGAAATCATGTTTTCTTATAAGGCCCATCCTTTCTCTGTTAACCCTGACCCCCACTTCTTGTGGTCAGAAATAACTTGATGGTTAGATGCTTTCTTGGAGTATGTCATCTTTCAGCAAGGATACATGGGCTTAAATATAAAGAGGATTACATAATAGGAGGAAACATAATGAAGCTGTGACTGTATGGAAAACAAGTCGGGAAACCAAGTGCAGTTCACTTGGAAATAAGCTGAATAAAGCTGAGTAAGCTTGTTGAATGTTTCACTTTTTAAAGGTAGTGAAGCCAGTTACCACATTTTTTTCACAACAGATCTCAAACTTAAAGTTTATTTAACTCATCTTTACACCTTGTTTTCTTGGAAGCCAAAAAATTTAAATAATAGGTATTACTTGTGAGGAGAAATGAAGCTTTTATGGATCCTGAGCAAGTTTGTTCCCCAGTATTTTAGAAGCCTAGCAGCAAACTGCAGCTTAGAGTGATATACGGTGGTGTCTCCTTTCATACCTTTGACTATATTATTTTTGTGAAATGACATACATTTACAACTAGTAGATGCCACGATTGTGTCTTTAAAGTAAATTGTTACATGTTTTGCAATTATATTCTAATGCAAAATGCTGAATCAACCCAACATGATCTGCAACTCAACTATCCGTTTTTTGGTATCCATGCTTGTCATCCCAAAATGAAAATGCTACACATTAGCAGCAGAGACTCTTGACTGTCTTCACACCTTCACTAAATTTCTACTGGCGAGAAACCAGGCTACATGTGCATCTTTTTTAGGTGCAATATTACCATTGAATATTATTTGGAAGCCTCTCATTATATTGAAAGACAGCTTGTACCGTACTGGCTCAACATTTCGGGTGTATATATAGTGTACCGGTATTTTCCTTTCTAGAATTTGCATCTTACAGTCAAGACAGGTCAAGTGTACTACTCCTCCCCCCAAGGTTCTATTCAAAAATAAATGTTTGGAAAAATTAATCCATTTGTTGTTGCCGCAACTGGTATATAATTAATATCTGCATTCCCGCATATGTAATGAGAAATCTTTGAATGGCTAATATTGCTTTGAAGACATTTACATGAAATTCAAGAAAACTGAGCTTGTAGAAATCTGATAACTACCATGCCTGTGAATTCACCACTCAATACACACACAGCAATGCAAAGATGAATCTGAAATCTACCACTACTAACACAATTCAACTTTTTAAATAATGAATTCATTAAATGGAATCTTCGAGGGTATGTTTGACCTGGCTTGACTGGAAGGGATCCATCAGTTCATAGACCAATGTAGACAAAAATAACAATGAAGAACTAAACTGAACAATTTTTACAAAAATATAAACATTACAAGCTCATGGATCATTCCAAAAAGTGAACATTACACGCTTATTCACTTTTAGAGATTTCTTTTGTTATAGCAATTTGCTTTTTCACCCATTCATCATAATTAAAAGATTCCTCTATTATAGACTGTGAAAAACATTCATCACTGCTTTTCACCACACTTGCCTCTGCTTCTGCGCTGCTTGTTTTAGGACCAGGGCTTTCCACAGGAGAATCATCTTGTGTTTCATCACCTGACCCAATAGTGGTAACAGTTTTAGTTTCAGCTACACTTTTAAGAGATTCCCTGAATTTCTTGCCAGGTTCTTTGTGCGCCTGGTTGGTATACTTAAGTCTCTTCTTGGAGGGATGGTCATGTTCATTTAGGCGAGTCTTAAAACTTCTATGAGAATGGTTGGGGTGTGTCTGGTGTGGTTTCTGATGATACCCTCCCATGGGTGAATAATGATATTGTGGGGAAAAGGCAGGTGACAAATTAGGTCTGCTGTAATTGACATTTTGAAAGGGAGAATGCCACCTTGGGCTTTGTGGACGTAGATTTGAAGTTGTGCGCTGCATATATGGTGGCCGACAACGGGACACAGGACTTGGGGTTCGATGGTGCATGTATGGTGGTGGACTTTGAGTTTCATAGTATGGTGGTGAATGAGGCATGCTAAATGGTGCCCATTGGTTGTTGATTGTTATTGGCGATTTACATTGGTTCAAATTCTGTTTCTGGTACACAGTGCGATTATAATCATGTGAAACATGATTCTGAACAGACTTCACCCTACTTGCCTTATTTCTATAATTCTCAATTATCTGCTCTAAATCTGCAGTGTCTGATGGAACCCTATGATTACATGCAGTAGCTAAAATTCTTAGATCATTGTCTAGTGTTGTTCTGTTGGAATACTTGATGGGATTATGACACTGCAGCTTTTTCCTAGTGACTGCAAAAAAGTTGGTTCTTGTCCTTTCCCTAGCAAAAAAAAGGACAAGAATCTGAATATATGATGGGAAGACAACAATAATGTACATACATATATATTATACATGGTCACAACAAACAATAAATTTCAAAATGTTGCCTTTTCCCTGACAAATGTGAAATTTCCCTGAGCAAAATGGAAAACCTCCCCTTACAGCCACACCTCTTACCTGTTTTTCTGTGATCGATTTCATTGAGTCAGGTTAGTGGGGACAAGAAGTATTAAAAGTAATGATGCAATACTAAAATTACTGGTGTAGTTTTCCTGTCCTCTCTCCAAATTACAATTTTCAACCAACAATGTTTCTAGTGTGTTAGTGTCTCTGCACAAGTTCAGCCTTTTCTGTCACCTTTTGATAACCTTACATTATATAACAATTGCCAAACATAAAACATTGGATGCTCCAAAAAACACACACACACACTTTTTGTGCAATATTGAATAATGATGACATACTTGAGCAATTTGTAGTTTTCTATTTCATCCATATTTCTCTTCAGCTGTTTTTGGATTTCTCTCACTTCAGCTTCAGCCTGGATTAAACAATAACAAGTGTCACCAGTAAATGCACAGAAACCATAATCATGTGCAGTGTAGACATTTAAAGATCACTTTATGACACCAATAACCACACTTCAGAAGAGTGCATCTTTCAAGGACACAGGGTGGGGGTGGAGGCTACTCACGGGACATTTACCTTCAAGGTTGTCAAGGCTATGCCATTGGTTATTTTGAATATTCAATGCGCCCCATTGTTTTGAAATAAACAATGATACCTTTCCTAATTTGGTATGTTAAAATCTTTTGCTAATATATATGCCATAACAAATAGTGTTGCATTTTTTTCTTGGGAAAGTCAATTTATAAAAAAGCAATAGAAAACATTTTTCCTGTATTTGCATAGCCTGCTATAAGCACCAGAGATTGGGGTTGGGAGAATGCAAGAAAGTTATGCAAAGCCGAGACAATGCAAACTGTCGAGAATTCTCCCAACCCCTCTTGTGCTTATATTAGGCCGTGCAAACACGGAAAACACTTTCTGTTGCTTAAAAATTTAGTCTATCAACTAACCTGTTTTAAGTGATCTCTGTGTTCCCGGTGTAATGAGAGCTGGCCACATTCATAGTACCCACGACAGGGATGCAACATGCAGTTATTAACACGGTGTCCTTTGTAATGGCAACTGCTGCAAGTAAAATTAGTGTGTTTCCCTGCAAGACCTCTTTCCCTTGGGGCGACTTTCAGCGACTCCAGGGTGGCCTGTGCTATACTGAGGTTATAATCAAGACCAGTTCTCTCTTCTTGCAGGTTCTGGATTAATTGTTCTACACCATGATCATGGCTATCCAGACTAGCGGTAGATGTTTCACCTGCCATGGATGTTTGGCTGTTGTCTATTGTCACTACTTTGATTTTATCTCGGTCTCTTATTTGAGCGATGTCGATATCGACAAGGTCCTCCCATTCTGGATCAAAACGCTGCAATGATACGATGCAACGTGCGGAAGAGACTAGACGAGTTTGAAAAACGCGTTCAACCAAGGAGACTTTATCACTGTCATCGCTTTTGACAGAACACACCTTTTTTTAGCCCTTTATAATCTAACAAAATTGTTCTTTCCCTGGAATCCTGAAAATGAAAAATGTGTAGGACTTGGCTTAAGCTTTATGTAAACACAACAAATAGCACTAGTCACCAAAACATTGAAGAGAAAGCTTGCAAGAACTTCGCCTGAAATCTCTCTTATACGAATAAGAATTTCTACAAGTCCTATGTGATGTAGAAGCCCAAAAAAGTTCTCAATGATAGCATTTGAAACAGGTTTCCCACATCACTTGATCGAACTCACCTTTCCCGCCATGTTCGACGCCACGTTGAAAAAGTCTCTTGCTTCGACTTCCCATATAAGGAAGATACCTTGTTCGCAAAGTCCAATCAGCAATCGAAGTTTGATTCGAACATTTCAAAAATGATTACATTATTTGAAACGACTAACGGGTTGAACTTTGGAATAATCGATCCATTAATATAATCTAGGGGGGTACGCTTGACCTGGTTTGACTGTAAATCTAAATAAGTATTCACAGTCGGTGAGGCAAAAACAACGAGACAACGCGTGAGTGAGCAGCAAAGGGCTTCCTCGTCCTGGGGCCCTTCTCTAGTAGATTCTCTCATCTCTCTGTCTCTTGGTATGACAATCCCTTGATCAAATATAAGGTAACACTGGAAATGGGAACACAGAAATTTACACGATAGCTAGCGAGTGAGTGAGAATGATGTCAATGATCCAGCAGCACAAGATGAAAGGCCAACATTGTTCAGTATGCTATAGGCAGGTTCAAAACTTGGACTGGACTGGATATTTGGTTCCCCAAGGGAGTTATTTGTGTCTCCAAAGACAGTATTGGTTTCCGGAAGGAAATATTTGGTTTCTCGAAGGAAGTTAATCAAATCTGTATAAGGGTTCGCCAGATGATGTACGTGGACCAATTTGAGGTGTTTCTTTGTCAAATCGCTCCATCATGGCCGCCCAACGAAGTCAAACATCTTGGTTTAGCCTGCGTGGCAGCCGTTCGAAAGGGAAGGGGAAGGGAATTAGGGCGCGAGACCACGCGCGAGGGAGGAGGGGAACGCGTGCAAGGAAGCCATTGTTTTCGCCATCCCGCCTACTAATTAAGAAAAATGACAAAAATAACGCAACTGTGAATGACTAGCTGTCAAATAAGTCTGGTCGCGATGCACTTATTCTAGTTGCATTTCTCGCACTGTTTTTCTTTTGTTTTCCTAAACCAAGAAATCTAAAGTAAAGGTACTATAAAAAAAATTCAAGTGCGGTCGTCCTTTGAAGGAATCTTCCTTGAAAGTTGCAACGACGCGTGCCGAGTTACATAAAATCCAGCATAAATCTATTCAAGTTGTTGCTGAAGGAAGCGGGCTGGAAAACTATTTAATAAGAAATGTAGCGGCTCTTCGCAACTTTCATGCAATGTTTGTCTGAGAAAAATTAAAAACACTTTGCTGACTCTCGAATTGGATCCAGCAGAGCATACAAAAGAAGGATGGTAGCGGGGAAAGAATTGCTGAACTTTGAAGATCTACAAGAAAGCTGCAATCACTTAGTTGGCGGCTTTATAACATCTATAACCAGCAAGAGGTCCTCCAACCAAAAACCGCTAAGGATTATAGATCGCTTCGTCTTCAATAATCTAGTCGTTGATAAAGCGTAGCCTGAGCGGTAGGCGTTTGAGGTCAAACAGCAGATAACAAGCACAAAGACCGCATGATTTTTCCTCTTTCTTCTAGTGAGTAAAACAAGCCGTTGGGAGATAAGACTTCTTAAAACCAGCTGTGAATAAAATTCTTCTAGCTGACAACTCTTTTCCTTTGAATGGTACTTTTAATTGCTTTCTTTTATTCTCCGTTGAAGCTGAAATTCATGACTCCAGTTTCTAATTCTAACGATAAATTCCGTACAGAAATCTCATCACGCTTCACTAACAACAAATAACATGAAATAATGATTGCTGAATGATCGATTAAGTTATTCAGTAGCGTGACGTTGATTTCAACCAATCAGATAAAGATATTAAGGCTGTGATTGACTTGTTTTGAAGACTAACCAATGAGGCTTTTAACATTCGCCTGGTCGATGTTAAAAACGAGAAAAACAATGGTCTCCTGGCAGGCGTTTCCCTCCCTCCCTCCTCGTGCGCCCCCTCGCATTTCTCTCGCACCTCAATCTCCGTTTCCCATCTCTCGCGCCTCAAATCTTGGTTCATCGTTGGTTTTTCTGGTAAAAATTCTGAGCCGACCGTCAAACAACGTAAAAACGTCTTTTCTAGAAAACATATCGTGGTTACTGGTGCAAAATAGCAAAACATTGTAAACAAATCCTCTTGCCTGAAATCCTGAAGGTCTTCACTCGCACATGGAGGGAAAGCAACGTCGCTAAAACGTTTCAATCGATAAGTAGATCGGATCGTAAACGAGAGGGGACGAAAATGGATTGGGTAACATCGAGGTTAGCCTCGGCTATCGTCGACGTGGTAGAGTTTCGTCGAGTTTGGGATCGTATAAAACCGATAATCCAAAATAAAACCAAGAACTGTTCCGAACACAGTCCGAAGATTGGACTTCTTACGGACTGACACACTCGATGACATAGTAGCTATTTCTCTTCTAAGAAGAGAAGTAGCTACAAAAAAGCAACTGTACAAAAACACAAGTCAAGGATGCAACTAAGAGCCAATAAAGTAAATTCAGTCAACAAGTTGATGGTTGGATGCTTTCAAAAATAACAAAGAAAATTATTCGAGAAAATACTTTTGAACAAAAGAAAAAGAAACCCAGATTAAATTTAACCCTGGGTTAAGCGCTAATCGGCCTATCGCGCCTATGAAAACCGTAAACCAAAAATCCGCCCCCATTTGCGAAATCTGGGTTGTGACGCGACATCAGTGTGGAATTTCTGCGCTCCTTTCTCAAACGTCATTTGGCGAGGAAACCAGTGGTACTGTCGCTAAATGTCGGCTGTTTTCTCAGGCTACAACAACAAAAATAATAAAACATAAGGATTCTGTTTATGGAGAAGAGGGGAAGGGGTCCCTTAACAGCAGTGGTATTCCTTCAAGACTTTCAGGTCCCATAAATCTCTGCAGACATCTGCTGCAAACATCTTTGGCTCCGCAGGAGGGAGGCTAGGCATTTAAAGTAAGAAAAGATTTTCTGTTAAAATGCTTAATCTCAGCTATCAGGGAATTTGTGGATATTTAAGTCACTAACCTTTGATAAAACATTGGATGTAAGTTCCTGAAAATCATTGAAAGAAATGTCAAACCTCCTTCCCACCGGAAATCAATCCTCGCCCCCATTGTCCTCGTGAGACATTAACATGCAAGGAACTGATATTAGAGAAGTACAGAAGGCACAACATTTATTGCCCGTCAAATTTAATCTCTTGGTTTAACAAACAAATAAACTTGTAATTTCACATTGAAAGTGTAGCTGGAGAAGTGGCTTGCATAAAAAAGGCCATTTCATACTGCTAATATTGTGATCAATCAATTTTCTAGATCTCTGAAAAAGCTGAGAAAAAACAGTGGAAATCAGAAAAAATGAAAGCTATTCTAGAGTCAAGCTCAGTTAATGATCACTTAAACGTTGAGCAAGCAAGCTTGAACATCATAAGCTTATGCAGAGGCAGCTGTCAATATGTACTATTTGCATGTTGCAGGTTAAATGTCACAAATGTATAAGATACTTTTTGCAGGCTACAGGGTGGTAAATAAATAGTGACAAGCCATTCACAGATCCCGCAAACGTGTCGCATGAATGTAATTGCTCTTCTACATGTAGCGTTAAAGAGATTAACTACAGTTTGGCTTTAACCAGTATATCTCTTAATGAACTGCCTCTTTTATAAGAGATGATTAGAGGTTCTTTGAACATTTCGTGAAGTTTAGGTTGTAATTCTATAAGATGCCATTTCTCCATTAGAATGTGTTTTAGGTTAGGCACAGATGGGTTGTATTGCGTTACAAAGGGCAATATTTCTTTGCGTACACTTGTGTTTTCTTGGAGAGGTTTCTTTCTGTCAGAGAATTTGACTTCTGAGAGTGTTTTATCCATAAAGTTGTTTGGGTAGCCTCTCGCTCGAAGGCGTAGTTTGAATATTCTTATGTTTTCTACGAAAGTCTCCTGTGAAGAGTTAGTTCTTAGTAGTCTCAGGCCTTCACCTTTCACGAAGCCTTTTTTGACTCCGGGTGGGTGACAGGATTTAAAATGCGTGTACTGGAATGTCTCAGTAGGCTTGAAATAAGTACGCGTGTCAAGGATAGATTCCTTTTCAAATCGTGCTCCTTTGTAGATGCATGTATCAAGGAAGATGATTTCTTTATCAGAAATATCAGCAGTGAATTTTATTGTAGGATGGTAGTTATTTGCATGCTCAATGAAGTTGTTAATTTCCTCTCTATTAGTGTCCCATAGGGAAAACACGTCATCGATATATCTTTTCCATACCAACGGCTTTGTACTTTGCTGATCGATAATTGCTGTCTCAATCTTAGCCATGAAAATATTAGCAAAAGAGACTGCTGTTTTAGTGCCCATAGCTGTACCATTGGTCTGGAGAAAGTCTTTTCCATTGAATCGGAAAAAGTTCTCGTGTAATATCTCAGCATTTCTCTAAGATAGTGTGTTGGTATAGGGAGCGTTGTCGTGTAGAATGTGTCATATGCATGGCATATGGTCATGATACCCTCTTCTTGCGGTATATTTGTATATAGACTCGTAACGTCCATTGAGAAAAAGGACTGCATTTTGTGGAACTCTCGTTCCTTCAATGAAGTTAATAAATTGAGTTGTATCTTTAATGTGACTGCTGTTCTTTCATTATTGGTTGAAGGAGACTGTCAACAAAAGCTGAAATTCTCTCAGTAGGGGAATCGCATCCAGAGATTATTGGTCGACTTGACAAGTTGACCTTGTGTGTTTTTGTAAGAGTGTAGAAAACTGGAATGCGTGGAGGGTTCGGTGTTTGAGACAACCATTTTAATGTCACTTC